ATCGGCCTCCGTGGCAAGAAAAGACAATACACTTGCTCCCACCAGAGCTCGAGGCGGATTATGCATTAGCATAGTCGACAGGCTATGGGAAGGCTGCGCGAGTTTCAACTCGTCATCGACCTCCACTACAGAATCACAGACGCCTGCTAAGATCGACTTTGCGGCTCGCAATTCCCTCCTATATAGCTGACGCTCTATACGGGACACGGCGAAATTGGAGAAAAAGACGTGGACAACGGTTTGAATAACTCCAACACCGAACCCGTCGTTGAGAACGTCAATCACTGTTCTAGGGTCGATGCAACCACTACCGTCGGAATGTCCAAAAAGCAATGTGAATGCAGCGGTCAGATAACAAGCTGACGTCCAAAACAGATTCGCTGGAACGCTCATGTCAAACAAACCCAACAACATACAATCAAAAACCATCTGGACTTTGAGAGAACCAATCGATTCCGCATGCTGCAACAGTGGTGACACCGTCAACACATTCGAAAGTGACATAATAGAAACCCAAATGTGAAGTGTAGATGGGGTCACCAGGCTTGGAAACTCAGTGACGATCAAGCAGATGATCGTGCAAAAAGTGTAATGCAAACGTCTCGAAGAGATATGCGGACGCTCATCCGCGAGGATCAGCCCTAACGGCAAAGCAAACATGAGGCCGCCTATGCCAGCTATCCGGCAACTTCGTCGCGCCATGTCAAGCCTCATTGCTTGCTTGTGCTTGTTAATGCCATCATCATTTTCAAAAACGAACCTCCTCACATCGTTGAAGAACACGAGCAATCGAGCAAGGCAATCCCAACAACAAAATATCGAGGTCCCTTCGACGCACAACTGTCGCACTGGGCGCCGCAGCATCAGAACGATGCAAAACACAATGGCCCAAAACTGCGCTTGATCGACCACGCCAGAGAAATCTTGGACCGTCATTGGAACGACAAGCCTAGCACCTCGCTCGTGCGGAAATCCAGCCTGCCTGACACTCGAGACGAAAAGACCTTCAGCCAGATATTTGAGCTTAAATCGCTGCCAAATCCCACCAGCCCTCTGGGCGGAGGTGGTTTAGAGAGCCCGTTCTATTCCACCTCCTTCTGCCCCTTCGGGGAGAGGTTTATCCCTCCCCCTACCCCCTCCCCCTGGGCCTGGAGGGGGGGGGGCGCGAGTCGTTGGAGCGTCTGCTTTGGCCTAAGATGGCGTCAAGACAGCCGAAGAGAGATCAAGATGACCTCCAAGGTCGCCCAAGATAGCCCTCGAGGACTCAAGAGAGCTCCTAACAAGCCTACACGAGGCTCCAAACTCTGAGGTCCGCGCGGATTCCTCGGACCGGCGCTGGGGCCCCCTGGCGGCGCCTCCAGCGCCGCCCCTGGCGTGCTCCGCGCCAGGGAGGGAGGTCCAACGCCGATCCGAGAAATCCGCGCGGACCTCCGAGTTGTTATGTTTATGTCATTGTGTGTTCCCCTAGAGGAGGGCGGAACGGACGATTTATGATTCCCGTTCAGTGTGTCGCGGCGGCGTCCCCGGTGACACGGTAGGTCCTGGAAGCGGATAGCGTGTCGCTCCGCTCCGCGCGGGAGCCTCCCAAGGACGCCCCCGAGAGGCCCACATCCTTCAAAAACCGGAGGATAATTAAAGTTGGCCTCATGACGCTTCACTCGCCATCGCTCGGACCATTCCCTGTGTTTTTTTCGGTTTCGTGCGTGGCTTTTCGCCAAATGGTCAAGGATGCTCCTCGATGGTCCTCGCCGAAGGAAAAATTCACACGTCCGAGCGATGCCAAGTTCAAGATGGCCCGAAGTTGGCCCGAGAGAGCCCCAAGACAGGCCCCAAGAGAGGCCCCCAGCGGGCCCAAGAGCGCCCCAAGTGGGCCCCAAGAGGCGACTTCTCGGGTTCCGGCGGGGGGGCCGCAATTGACGCCGCTCTCCTTTTGGAGCCGTGGCCTCCAAGATGGTCCCAAGAGACCTCCCACCCCCTCCCTCAAGAGCCCGACGAGGGCACTCAGACCCCCCAAAAGAGCCACAGGGGTGCCCCATGAGGCACCACGAGGACCACAAAAGGGTCCAGAGACCTGCAACATAGCCCCCAGTAGCGACGAACCCAGAAACGCCTTTATGGTTGACTTCGTCGTCGGCGTCGTCGTCGTCGTCGTCGTCGTCGCCATCGTCGTTGTCAGTCCTCGTTATCCTGGTCATCGCCGTCGTCCTCCTTGTCGTCGCTATCCTCATCTCTCCGCACACCGCCTTCTATTCCTCCTGCTCCGCCTCCTCCTCTGGGGGAACAAAAAGTGTCATGAACATAAAAATTCCGATGTCCGCGCGGATTTCTCGGATCGGCGCTGGACCCCCCTCCCTGGCGCGCGGAGCGCGCCAGGGGCGGCGCCGAAGGCGCCGCCAGGGGAGTCCAGCGCGGATCCGAAAAATCCGCGCGGACTTCCGAGTTTTTGTTTACGCCACTTTGTGTTCCCCTATCCTCCTCCCACTGCCCCCACAAGAATGTGTATAATAGACAGCGGCAGGAGGTGGGCGGAGGAGGAGGTTTTCGAGAGCGGGAAAAGACACGCCCGAAATGTCACACGACCGTCAGAATGCGCCGCGACACGTGCTGTTTGGGGATGGGCCGGTGGGGATACTTTTTGGGTCTGCGGGCTCGCGAAGCAAGTCAAAAGCCTTCCGAAAACTAGCCTGGCCGCGACTAGGCAGCAAGAAAAGAAGGGGCAAGCGAAGCGAGCGCGCGGGCAGCCACTCAGAAAGAGGACCAGGAACGGCACTCCAAACCCGGTGGCGTGGAAATCTCGGTGGATACCATCAAGTAGGCGCAGTCAAAATTGCGCGGCGGCGCGACCATGAACACGCAAAGGTCGATCACCCCGTGTGAGTCGGCATAAGGCCCGACAAAAACGAGCAGGTCCGACAGGCACTCCAGGAAAACATCCGTGCCGTAGGTGACACAACAGAATCGTGTCAACGCTGGCGTGAAGAGGGGGCAGCCTCGAGACAGACAGGACTGCAAACGGCAGATCCTCTTGTATGTACACCCGGTGGCGCAGGTCGAAAGCGAAGTCCATGTAGGAGGAAGCAGCCGACGGGCGCCCAGAGCCACACATGCCAAAGTCCTTGCACCGAAGAGGACGGCAGCGCAGCGAGACCCCACGGAACCCAAACGGTCACCACTGGAGGCTGAAACCAAGCAGGAGCAGGCCAGGGGCCACCTGACCGCCCATTCCCAGTGTGGTCCTTGCATGGAATTCGAAGCGAGAGCTCACGGAACCCTCCCGGTCACCAGAGGCCGACACCAGCCAGGAGCAGGTCAGGGGGCCACCTGACCGCCCATTCCCAATGTGAACCTTGCATAGAATTCAGGCTGTCAGAACACCATCAGACAGCAGTATTGGCGGCAACCCCAGCCGTGTGGGATAAACCCGGTGAAACGAAGGAGAGGAGGGGAAGTGCACGCCAGGCACGGTAGGCAACCCGCTGTGGTAGCTAAACGCTGCGGCAATAGGAAGCAGGATACACGAGCATCGGAGCCCACTGAACCCGTTCGGCCATCAGCAGGGGGGGGGGGGGGGGCGCCGGCCTAAGGCAGCCAGTAGGCACCGCACCACCCAGTCCCAGTGTAATACTTGAGCGACCCAATACGCACTCTTCCCGGTGTAGGTGACTAACCATCGCAGAATCCCTTGGAATCCGAGGCGGCTGGGTGTTCCCACGGGTCGTGTTGCCAGTGTGTGTGTGTGTGTGTGTGTGTGTGTGTGTGTGTGTGTGTGTGTTGGACGGTCAGCAAGGTTCTCTCTGTCTTCACCGTGCCGCTCATCCTGCGACTCGCGACTATCATCACACTCCCCCCGGTGGAAGCGACTGACCGTCACAGAGGCAATTGGAATCCGAGGCGGCTGAGTGTTCCCAGAGGTCGTGTTGCCAGTGGGTTGTGTTGGGCGGTCGGCAAGGTCCTCTCTGTCTTCTCCCTGTCCCTTCTCCTGTGGCTCGCGACCCATTTCGCAATCTTCCCGGTGTAGGTGAAGGACCATCGCAGAGTCTGTTGGAATCCGAGGCGGCTGGGTGTTCCCAAGGGTCGTGTTGCCAGCGGGTTGTGTTGGACGATCGGCGAAGTCCTTCTGTCTTCTCCTTGCCCCACACCCTGTGACTCGCGACTATCATCACATTCTTCCCGGCGGCGGCGACTGACCGTCGCAGAGTCCGTTGGAATCCGAGGCGGTTGGGTGTGCCAAGAGGTCGCGTTGCCAGTGGGTTGTGTGGGACGGTGGGCGCGGTCCTCCCAGACTTCTTCCTGTTCCTCCTCCTGCGATTCGCGACTATCTTCGCGTTCTTCCCGGTGGAGGCGACTCATTTCGCAATCTCCCTGGTGTAGGCGACCAACCGTCGCAGGAGGAGAATGGTAGAACAGTGGGTTGTACTGGACGGTCAGCAAGGTTCTCTCTGTCGTCTCCCTGCTCCACACCCTGCGACTCGCGACTATCTTCGCACTCTTCCCGGTGGAAGCGACTGACCGTCGCAGAGGCAATTGGAAACCGAGGCGGCTGGGTGTTCCCACCAGTGGTGCACGTCGCCGACGTGCTGCCAGTCCCGCTGGTCCCCGTTGCCATGCTGCGTGTGACGGTGGTGCTGGTCAGCGACGTGCTACTCGACTCCGTGGGGTGGATCCCGTGGTACTGCACCCAGTTGTGCTCGACAGCGTTGTGCTGCACGACTCGCTGGTGTTCGTTGCCGTGCTGCTTGTCACGGTGGTTCTGACCAGCGACATGTTGCCCGACTCTGTAGTGCTAGACCCCGTGGTGCCCGATTCCGTTGTGCACGACACCGGCATGCTGCTGGTGTCCTGGTGCACGTCGTCGTGCCGCATATTCCGGTAGTGCTCGTCGGCGAAGTGCTGCTCGACCGCGTTATGTTGGACCACGTGCTGCACGACGCCGTTGTGCTGGTCAACGCGTGCTGCTCGTCCCCCGAGTGCTCGTTGCCGAGCTGCATGTCTCAGTGGTGATGGTCAGCGACTCGCTGCAGGACTCTGTCGTGCTACAGCTGGTAGTGCTCGTCAGGGTCGTGCTGCTGGTCTCTATGGTGCTCGTCGCCGTGCAGCTCGTCTCGGTGGTACACGTCGGTGACGTGCTGCTCGGCTCTGTGGTGCCCGGTCCCGTGGTGCACGTCACCGTCGCGCTGCTCGACTCACCAGCGCTCGTCGCCGTGCTGCTTGTCTCCGTTGTGCAAGTCAACGACGCGATGCTGGAGTCTGTTCTGCTGGAGCCTGTAGTGCTAGACTCCGTTGTGTAGGTCCTCGTCGTGCTGCTCGTCTCACTGGTGCTCATCGACGAACTGCTGGTCTCAGTTGTGCTGGTCGGCGACGTGCTACTGGACTCAGTAACCGGAGCCTGTGGTGATGGCCAAGGGGACAAGGGACAAAGGAGTCGGTCGCACACCGTGCTGCTCGACGAGTTGCTGCTGGTGTCCGTACTGCTGGACAAGGTAGTGCTGCTCGACTCGGTCGTGCTGCTCACCGTGGTGCTGCTCAGCGTAGTGCTGCTCGTCATTGATGTGCTGCTCGATTCCGTGGTACACGTCTGACTGGTGCTTGTGCTGCTCGACTCGCTCGTGCTGGTCAAACTGGTGCTGCTAGATTTTGTGGTACTTGAGTCGGTCGTGCTCGTTAGCGAGGTGATACTCGATCCGATGAGCTGGTCAGTGATGTGCTGCTTGATTATGTCGTTGTAGTCAGCGATGTAGTGCTCGAGTCAGTAGTGCTGCGCAGCGTGGTGCAACTTGATTCTGTCGTGGTGCTGAGTGTCGTGCTGCTTGATTCCGTGGTGCTCGAGTCGGTCGTGCTGGACAGGGAGGTGCTGTTCGATCCTGTGGTGCTCGAATGAGTAGTGCTGGTCAGCATCGTACTGCTTGACTCTGTGGTACTGGACCCCGTGGTGCTTGACTCAGTAGCGCTTGTCAGCAACGTACTGCTCGACCCCGTGTTGCCCGACTCAGTCGTGCTGGTCAGTGACGTGCTGCTCGACTCTGTGCTAGTTGAGCCAGTCGTGCTGGTCAGCGAGGTACTGCTCGACTCCGTAGTGCACGACACAGACGTCCTGGGCAGCGACGTACTGCTGGATCCCGTGGTACTCGACGCTGTCGTGCTGGTCAACGACGTGCTGCTGGACTCTGTGGTACTTGAGCCGGTCGTGCTGATAAACGAGGTACTGCTCGACTCTGTGGTACTGGAGCCAGTCGTACTGGTCTCGGTCGTGCTGGTCAGCGGGGTGCTGCCCGACTCCATGGTACTTGAGCCGATCGTACTGGTCCCGGTCGCGTTGGTCAACGACGTACTGCTGGAGTCTGTGGTACTTGAGCCAGCCGTGCTGATCAGCGAGGTGCTGCTCGACTCTGTGGTTCTGGAGAATGTCGAGTGGTCTCGGTCGTGCTGGTCAGCGAAGTACTGCACGACTCTGTGGTACTTGGGCCAGTTGTACTGGTCTCGGTCGTGCTTGTCGGCGAGGTGCTGCTCGACTCTGTGGTGCTCGACCCCGTAGTGCTGGACTCGGTGGTGCTGGTCAGCGAGGTACTGCTCGACGACGTACTGGTCGACTCTGTGGCACTTGAGCCGGTCGTGCTGGTCAGCGAGGTCCTGCTCGAATCTGAGGTGCACGATCCTGTAGTGCTCGGCTAGGTCGTGCTTGTCAGCGACGTGCTGCACGACTCTGTGATACTTGAGCCAGCCGTGCTGGTCTCGGTCGTGCCTGTTAGCGTGGTGCTGCACGACTCCGTGGTGCTCGATCCCGCGGTGCTCGACTCGGTCGTGCTGGTCAACGATATCCCGCGCACCGACGTGCTGCTCGACTCTGTGGTACTTGAGCCGGTCGTACTGGTCAGCGAGGTGCTGCTCGATTCTGTGGTAATTGTGCCTGACGTGCTGGTCTCGGTCGCGCTGGTCAGCGACGTGCTGCGCACCTGTGGTACTTGAGCCGGTCGTACTGGTCTCGGTCGTGCTGGCCAGCGTGGTGCTGCTCGACTCATTAGTGTTCGATCCCGTGGTGCTCGACTCGGTCGTGCTGGTCAGCGACGTGCTGCACAGCGTGGTGCTGCTTGATTCTGGGATACTTGAGCCGGTCGTAATGGTCAGCGAAGCGCTGCTCGTCTCTGTGGTAATTGAGCCTGTCGCGCTGGTCTCGGTCGTGCTTGTCAGCGACGTGCTGCTCGACTCTGTGGTACTTGAGCCCGTCATACTGGTCTCGGTCGTGCTGGCCAACGTGGTTTTGCTTGACTCCGCGGTGCTCAATCCAGTAGTGCACGACTCAGCCGTGCTGATCAGCGACGTGCTGCTCGACGACGTACTGCTCGACTCTGTGGTGCTTGAACCAGTCTTGTTTGTCAGCGAGGTGTTGCGCAACTCTGTGTGCCCTCAGAGAGGCATGCAGGCCATGGGCAGGGCGGGCGAGGAGTACGGCAAGAGAAACAGGCGAACATGGCAGAGGCGGAACGCAGCGAACCGCTGCAGCAACGGGAGATGAAGGTGCATGGACAGACATGGAACGCGGCTAACCCCTGCAGCTGGGGGATATATGAGGGCACATGGACAGCGGATGCAGGGGCCGCAGGAGAAGAAGAGCGACTAACCGTCGCAGCCTTGGAAGAAAAACAGGAAAGGGAGATGGAGGCAGCCTGCCACGGTGGGTTGTTGACTCCATGGTACGTGCCACTTCCCATAACCAGTTGTACGTGCAAGGTCCTCACAGACTTCCTCCTGCTCCTCCACCAGCGATTCACGACTATCTTCGCGCTCTTCCCGGTGGAGGCGACCCATTTCGCAATCATCCTGGTGTGGGCGAGAGCAGCTGTTGCTGACTATGTCAATCGTGGCACCGAGGCGGCGGGGTGTTCCCAGAGGACGTGTTGCCAGGTGTGAGAGGAGAGGAGGAGAACGGTATAACATTCACTCGAGCATTTGTTGCTGACTATGCCAATCGTGGCTGTGCCATTTCCGACCGCGCTGACTATGCCAAACATGACAGTGCCAACCATTGCGACTCGCGCCTATCTTCACACTCTTCCAAGTGGAGGCGACTGACCGTCGCAGAGCATGCTGGAATCCGAGGCGGCTGGGTGTTCCCAGGGGTCGTGTCGTCAGTGGGTTGTGCTGGACGGTCGGCAAGGTCCTCTCTGTCTTCTCCCTGCCCCTTCTCCTGCGGCTCGCGATCCGCACTCTTCCCGGTGTAGGTGGGGAAGTGCACGCCAGGCACGGTAGGCACCCCGGTGTGGCAGCGAACCGCTGCAGCATTAGGACGCAGGAAGGGAGGAAGGGACAGGCACAAGAAGGAAGCAGGAGGAGAGAATGGTGGAACATTTACCCGGCGTGGGGAGGGCAGCGCGCCAGGCTGTAGAACATGTGCCCAGTGTGAGGAGGAGAACGGTGGAACAATTGCCCGGTGTGGAGAGGGAGGAGGAGAATGGTGGACTTCCCGGTGTAGGGAGGGCAGCACGCCAGGCTGGCTCCCAGGGCCGCGGCAAGCACTCCAGGCCCAAAGTGGAGCGGGTCAGCGTAGGTGGGAGCCCCAAGGCGCTGCCGCGCCCACGGGAACGTAGACCGTCGTCCTCTCGTGGCCGGCGCGAGCACGCATGAAAGCGACGATGACGTGCATGGGGACAATGCAGGGCTGGGCTCTGCCTTTACCAGGCTTCTTGTAGTCGGTAATGTGCCACTCCCACTGTGCAAGGCTATCTGGGGACGAGCGAATGACGCCCCGAACGCGCTCGATTAGAGAACGGCGGCTCGTCGTGGTGAGGGCCAGTTCGAAATAGTCGTGGCAGTCTGGGTGTTTCCCCATGAGCGCTAGGAAGCGGCGGAGGACGTCAGGCTCGTGGCGCGCGGGATCGTAGGTGCCAGGGCCACCCATCACCTTGTTGGCGCGACTAGAGTCGTGCCACTGGTGTGCCCCCCTCCGCCCTTTGCCACGCCTTGACCCGCTCCGCGAGGGCCGGCGGGTCGTCCACGAGCGCCCCGGCCCCCGAGGCTGACTCGTCAGGCGACAGTTTCGCTGCTTGGCCCGCGCCCAGGTCTGCGCCCGCAAGAAACCCGTTCGCATCGGGGGGCGAGGGCGTAGTGAGCGATGCGTCCAGGCCCGCCCCGTCTCCACGGGCAGGCGGTACGCACGGGGACGGCAGAGCCAGCGCAGTTCGGACACTGGGTCGCCATTGGCTGGAGGAGTCAGCGGCGGGCGACGGCCAGGGGCCCCCGTCGCCATGTGGCCCCGCACGGTCCGTCGAAGGCGACGCCGGTGCAGGGGTGATCTCGCGGGCAAGGCCCGCCCGCCGAGGCGGCGCATCCGCGCAGCGGGCTGGTCGCATGCTCGGGAACGGGGGCCCCTGGTGGACGCGGGGAGGAGGTGCGGAGAGCAGCGAATCGCCCTCTGTCCACCATTCGCTGGACTGCGGCTTCGTCTTCCAAGGTCCCGTTGTCTCTTTCCACCGTAATGCCCAGGTCGTCCTCCGGGATGCTCTCGCTCTCCTCGTCCTCGCACTTCTCGCTCTCCTCGTCCTCGCACTTCTCCTCCAGGGACTCCTCCGCTCCTCCCCAGCGGTGGGCCCCCCTTCCTCCTGCGACTCGCGCCTATCTTCACACTCTTGCCGGTAGAGGCGACTGACCGTCGCAGAGCATGTTGGAATCCGAGGCGGCTGGGTGTTCCCAGGGGTCGTGTCGCCAGTGGGTTGTGTTGGACGGTCGGCAAGGTCCTCTCTGTCTTCTCCCTGGCCGTTGGGGCAGGCCATCGGGCTGGCCGTGGGACCAGCCGTGGGACTGGCCGTAGGGCTGGCCGCGGGGTTGGCCGTGGGACTGACTCGGGCTGGCCGTGGGGTTGTCGGTCGGGCTGGCAGTCGGGCTGGCCGTGGGGCTGGCCGTGGCCTGGAAGTCAGGCTGGCCGTGGGACTGGCCGTGGGGCTGGTCGTGGGGGTGGCCGTGGGGCTGGCCGTGGGGCTGGAAGTCGGGCTGGCCGTGGGACCGGCCGTGGGGCTGGCAATCGGGCTGGCCGTCAGGCTGGCCGTGGGCTGGCCGTAGGGCTGGCCGTGGGGCTGGCAATCGGGCTTGCCGTGAGTCTGGCCGTGGGGCCGGCCGTGGGGCTGGCAGTCGGGTTGGCCACGGGGCTGGCCGTCGGGCTGGCCGTCCGGGTGGCCGTGGGGCTGGCCGGGCTGGCCGTGGGACGCCGCGAGGCTGGCAGTCCGGTTGGCCGTCGGGCTGGCTGTGGGGCCGGCCGTGGGGCTGGCCGTGGGGCTGGCCGCGGGGCAGGCAGTCGGGCTGGCAACGGGACGGGCCACGGGGCTGGCCGTCAGGCGGGCCGTGGTGGGGCTGGCAGCCGGCCAGGCCGTGGGGCTGGCAGTCGGGCTGGCCGCGGGGCTGGTCGCCAGGCTTGCCGTGGGGCTGGCCTTTTGGCTGGCCGTCGGACACGCCTTGGGGCTGGCAGTCGGGCTGACCGTGCGGCTTGCAATCGGGCTGGCCGTCGGGTCGGCCGTGGGGCTGGCAGTCTGGTTGGCCGCGAGGCTGGCCGGGGCGCTGGCAGTCAGGCTGGCCGCGGGGCTTGCCGTGGGGCCGGCCGCGGGGCCGGCAGTCGGGCTGGCCTCGGGGCTGGCCGTCGGGCTGGCCGCGGGGCTGGCCGGGCTGGCCGTGGGACTGGCCGAGGGGCTGGCGGTCGGGCTGGCCGTCCGGCTGGCCGTGCGGCTGGCCGGGCTGGCCGTAGGACTGGCCGTGGGGCTGGCAGTCGGGCGGGCCGTCGGGCTGGCCGCGGGGCGGGCGTTTGGGCAGGCCGCGGGGCCAGCCGTGGGGCTGGCAGTCGGGCTGGCCACGGGGCGGGCCCACGGGCTTGCCGTCAGGCAGGCTGTGGTGCTGGCAGCCAGGCAGGCCGTGGGGCCGGCAGTCGGGCAGCGCGGGGGGCAGGCCGCCAGGCTGGTCGTGGGGCTGGCCATGGGGCTGGCAGTCGAGCTGGCCGCCGTGGTGGGCCGTCGGGCTGGCCGCGGGGCTGGCCGCTGGGGTGGCCGCGCGCCGCCGCGGCGGCGCTGGCCATCGCGCCAACCGCCGCCGCCGCCGCCGGCGAGGAGCTGGCTGCCGCCGCAGCCGGAGGGGAGCCGGCGGCGGCGGCAGCAGCGGCGGCGGCGGGGAGCCAGCAGCGGCGGCGGCAGCGGCAGCAGCAGCGGCCGCCACGAAAGCAGCCGCGAAGCCGGCCACGCCGCCGCAGGCCGCCGCCCGCCGCCGCCGAGGGGAGGGCGGCGGCGGCGGCGCGGTGGCGGCGGTGGCGGCGGTGGCGGCAGCGGCGGCGGCCGCGGAGCAGGCGGCCGCGGGGGCGGCATCGGCGGCGCCGGCCTCCGCCGCCGTCGCCGCCGCCGGAGGGCAGCGAGCTCTGCACACACACACACACACACACACACACCGACTCTGGCCAGGCCCATCCTGGCACCAGCACCGGCGCATGCGCGCCCTCCTGCCTCGGCCGCGGAGACATCTGCGCCGATCCTGGGCCCACGGATGGGCCTGGCCGAGATCGGTGCATGCGCATAGCTCTCTTCGCCCGACCGTTGTCGAGGACGCGGGGCCGTTCGACGAGCAGGTGCGCGCTGGGGCGTCGGGCTGCGCTGACCTCCGGCGGAGCATCCTCGACGGCGGGTGGTGCTCGGGGTCCGCTTCTGGCTCGTGCGCAGCCCCCGTGGCATCGGCTTCCATGCCTTCAGCCTTCAGCCTTCGGCCTTCAGCCTCCTCCTCCTCCTCCTCCCATTCCTCCTCCCATTCCTCCTCCTCCTCCTCCTCCTCCTCCTCCTCCTCCTCTCCTCCTCTTGCCATTCCTCCTCCCTCCTCCTCCTCTCCTCCTCCTCCTCTCCTCCTCCTCCTCCTCCTCCTCCTCCCTCCGTCTCCTCCTGCTCATCCTGCTCCCTCCTCCTCTCCTCCTCCTCCTCCTCCCTCCTCCTCCTCCTCCTCCTCCTCCTCCTCCTCCTCCTCCTCCTCCTCCTCCTCCTCCTCCTCCTCCTCCTCCTCGTCATCATCCGCATCCTCCTGGCGCAACCGGGGCGGGCGTCCTCCAGCACTTCGGTGAAGGCTGGCAGCAAGAAAGCCAGCGTTTTCCCGCTGCCCGTCTTCGCGATGGCGATGAGGTCCCAGCCGCGCGTCGCCTGCCGCCGCGAGGGGGTTCGCCCGCCGGCAGTGGCGCGCTGCTGCTGTTGGTCGGTGTCGTCTTCGGCGTCGGCGTCGTCGACGTACTCGTTGTCCTCGTCATTCTCCTCATCCCCGTCCACCTCCTCCTCTTCCTCGTCCTCGTCCTCGTCCTCCTCCTCTTCTTCTTATGCTTATTATTGTGAGTACTAGTACGATTATTAATATTATGGTTATTGATATTATCTTGATTAGTATTATTCAGATTATTGTTATGATTATTGCTATTAGTATTATTATCAGTATTAGTATTATTATTCATCTTCCTCCTCCTCCTCCTCCTGCTCATCCTGCTCATCCTGATCCTCCTCCTCCTCCTCCTCCTCCTCCTCCTCCTCCTCCTCCTCCTCCTCCTCTCCTACACCCTCCTCCTCCTCCTCCTCCTCCCTCCTCCTCCTCTCCTCCTCCTCCCCCTCCTCCCCCTCCCCCTCTCCTCCCATTTCTCCTCCTCCTGCTCCTCCTCCTCCTCCTCCTGTTCCTCCTTGTGTTCTGCCTTTGGGCCTGCCAACATCCCATTCCTCCTCCTCCTCTTCCTCGTCCTCTTCCTCGTCCTCGTCCTCGTCCTCGTCGTCCTCCTCCTCTTCCTCCTCGCCCTTCTCCCCTACTTAGCCTCCTCCTCCTCCTCACCTCCTCCTCCTCCTCCTCATCCTCATCCTCATCCTCATCCTCATCCTCATCCTCATCCTCATCCTCATCCTCATCCTCATCCTCATCCTCATCCTCATCATCATCATCATCATCATCATCATCATCATCATCATCATCATCATCATCATCATCATCATCATCATCATCATCATCATCATCATATCATCATGTTCATCATCATCCTCATCCTCATCCTCATCCTCATCCTCATCCTCAGCATCAGCATCAGCATCAGCATCATCAACATCAACATCATCATCATCATCATCATCATCATCATCATCATCATCAGCATCAGCATCAGCATCAGCATCATCATCATCATCATCATCATCATCATCATCATCATCATCATCATCATCATCATCATCATCGGCGGTGTCCTCGTCGCCCTCTTCTTCCTCCTCCTCTTCCTCCTCCTGCCCCTCGCCCCCCCTTCTCCTGCTCATGCTGATGAGCCTCGTCCTTGCAGTCCGCATCCTCCTAATCGTCCTCGGCGTCGTCCCCCTCTTTCTCTTCCTTGTCGTCCTCCTCCTCGCATCGTCTCCTCCTGCCTGAAGAGGCACATCTCGCTGGGCCACAAGTCTCGTTGAGCATGAGGGCAAGCAAACTGATGAAACACATTGCCTTCGTCCTCCTCCTCCTCCTCCGCCTCCATTCCTTCTCCTAATGAATAACTCCTCCCTGTCGCACACCGAGGCCAAATTTTAGGGCGGCCCGGGCGTTTCGCCTGAGACTTCCTCACAATTTATGATCCTGAAGCTTAAGAAGTGGCAACAGCTTCACAGACGGAGGGCGGGTCGTTTTCAACATGTGGCTCTCGCCTTAGCGCCGCACACATTCGTTTTCAACATGCGCACGAGTTTCACGGATTGAGGGCGGGTCGTTTTCAAAATGTGGCTCTCGCCTTCGCGCCGCGCACATTCATTTCAACAAATTGCAGGAGTTTCACGGATCGAGGGCGGGTAGCTTTCAAAATGTGGCTCTCGCCTTAGCGCTGCGCACTTTTGTTTTCAATATGGGCAAGAGCTTCACGGATTGAGGGCGGGTGGTCTTCAAAGAAGTGGCTCTCGCCTTAACGCCGCGCACATTCTTTGTAAACATTTGCAAGAGCTTCACGGATTGAGGGCGGCTCCTTTTCAAAACGTGGCTCTCGCCTTAGCGCCGCGCACATTCGTTGAAACAAATTGTACGAGTTTCACGGATTCCCATGATCAGCGTACCAAAAATGTTGTTCAGGAAGGGTTCAGGATTATGCGGATGCAACAATTATGTTGATTCGCGGTGTTGAGATCCAAAGCATGGCGTTACGGCACGATTCCGGATCGCCAAAACGCAGCAACCAAGTTGATACGTGGCGTTGAAAACCCGCGAGATCTTCAAACGGATGTCTTCCAACGAGACAGCTCCCTTAATGGAAACGAACCCTTGTAGGGGCCTATGACGAGGGAGCTTGGAGGGAGGGTCAAGTCCAACATCGTTGGTGACTCTTGGGTTTACTCTGGTCCTCCTCCTCCTCCTCCGCCTCCTCCGCCTCCTCCTCCTCCTCCTCCTCCTCCTCCTCGCTCTCCTCCTCCTCGTCCTCGTCCTCGTCCTCCTCCTCCTCCTCCTCCTCGCCCTCCTCCTCCTCGTCCTCCTCGTCCTCCTCCTCCTCCTCCTTCTCCTCTTCCTCCTCCTCCTCCTCCTCCTCCTCGTCCTCCTCGTCCTCCGCCTCCTCGCCCTCCTCCTCCTCGCCTCCTCCTCCTCCTCCTCCTCCTCGGCCTCCTTCTCCTCGCTCTCCTCCTTCTCCTCGCCCTCCTCCTCCTCCTCCTCCTCCTCCTCCTCCTCCTCTTCGGGGACAGGGGGGGTGGGGGGTCGCCTCTCCGCACGCGCGCTCCCGCCCGCCCGCCTCCCCTCGGCCCCCCGCCGCCTCGCCGCCTCTTCCGCACAGCAGCTCGCCGTCGTCGCAAAGCCAGACGCGTCGGGGGGCTTAGGTTCGGATGCTCCGACCTACTTCAGCCTTGACCGCCAGGAAGAATCTCGAGCGCCCCCAAGGGTACCCAAACTCAAGGGTTTTCACGCGTCGGGCCCTGGGAGACACTGTTTCGACACTGTTTCGACACTCTCTTGACACTTTTCCGGGTGCTCGAAATTATTTCTGGGATGCAGTTCGTAAGTAGGATGGGAACAACATAAGGCTAAGGGCAGGCTGGCCCTCTCGCCTGAGACTTCCTCGCCGCGCGTGATCCTGCAGCTCGAACCCTCGACAGCTACACGCTTTTCGCAAACTTTGTGTCGGGCGTGTCCCCCTACAGGGGGATTTTCGCCGAAAACGAAACATGGCCCAATAAATACCCCCTAAAGATCAAAAACAAATACTCAAAAAATAGTCCCCTGACTATTTTTGGATTATTTTTGGAGTATTTTGGGTTTTTTGGTACAGTATTTTTTCGTCGAAAATCCCCTTGTAGGGGGACAGGCCCGACTTAGCGCTAACTGCGCTTGCACTCAGCAGTTCTTGCTTCATTTCTGAACTGAGCCTGCCCGTCGGTATGGCGGCCATGTGTAGAAGGCAGAACATCCACCCCGATGATAACCACCCCGACACGCGAAGCCGTGTAGCAAACGCACCCGAAGAAGGAATCAAGCAGGGCAGGGCTGTTTAGCAAACGCCCGGGGCCGTTTAGTGAACGCCAGTTGTCCAGTTCGGGCGGCTTCTCCTCCCTTGAATGTGGTCGCAGTCGTCGACCGTCATCGCCTCGTCGCCGCCTGGCTCCTGGGCCTGCCCGTCGGCCTGGCGGCCATGTGGTCGCCGTCGCCGCCCCGTCGCCCCGGGCCTGCCCGTCGGCCTGGCGGCTACGTGGTCGCCGCCTCGCCGCCTCGCCCGCCCGTCGTCGCCGCCCGTCGCTTTGGGCCCGCGTGCCGCTCTGGCTGCCGTGTGGCTGCCGTCACCGCCCCGTCGCCGCCCGGCTTACACTGCTCCGCATTGCTTCGCATTGCTTCGCGTACGTAGGCTTGCATCGCTTTGCAGTGCGTTGCATTGCTCGACGATGCTTTGCACTGGTTTGCATGGCAATGAATTGCCTCGCAGTGATTGGCATCGATTTGCACTGCTTTGCATTTCAATCGCACTGCTGTGCAATCACACTGCGCTGCACTGATGATCATTGGTTTGCACTGTATGTCTTGCATTGTTTTGCAGTGCTTTGCATTGCCCTGCAGCGCGATGCGCTGCTTGGCACTGATGTGCACTGCTTTGCATTGCTTCGCACTGCGTGCCATTGCTTCGCGTTGCTTTTTGCATTGCTTCGCGTTGCTTTGCATTGATGTGCAGTGCTTGACATTGTTGTTCATGGCTCTGCATGGTTCTGCATTTGAGCTACTCTGCATCGGGCTCTTCGAAGGAGCTGGGCGGCGGTGTCGGCCTGCCGCCCGTCGCCTGCCGCCGTCGCCGCCTCGTCGCCGCCCGTCGTCTGGGCACCGTGTTGCAATGGCACGGCGCTGCAATCGCCTTTCTTGGCATTGGTTTGCTTTGCATTGCTTTCTCTTGCGTTGCATTGCTTGGCATTGCGTTGCACCACACACAAACTGCGCCCCATGGATTGCACCACCTAGACTGCACCACAATGATTGCACAGCCTAGTTTGCACCGCATGGATTGTAATAGCTCGCTGCTGGGGATCCACGATGGCTCACTCTAGCTCTTCTCAACATGCCAATATCGCCTCAATGCCGCACACATTCGTTTCAGTCTGTTGCAAACATGAAGGGCGAACCGTGAAAATGTGGCCGTCACATTGATGCCGAACATACTCGGATTAACGCCTCCGACAAAGATCAAGGATGGAGGGCGAATCGACTTAACAGTGTGAAGAAAAGTTTGCCTTACAGGCGAGCGCATTCGTCGTACAAATTTAGAACAGGTTAAAAATAATGGAGGAGGGTTTCTTCTCAAGATGGGGCTGCCGCTCCACACAATGAAAAACGCTAAAGCCCAAAGTCTAAACGTCGTTGCCATAACATGGGGTATTTGCAGCATGTACCTCACGATTGCGACTGACGGTATCGCCAGACATATGCAATTCTGCAGCACTTGCTCGGACGGAGGGCAACTTCTTTTTGCCGCGCTACGCTGGACGACCCCTCGACATTTATGTTCCGACCCCTTCGCGTTCCTGGCAGCTGATATAAAGGGCAGAACATCCACCAAGGAACTAATCGAACAGGGCAGGGCTGTTTAGTAAACGCCCAGGGCCGTTTCGTAAACGCCAATTGTCCGGGTTTGGGTGGTTTTCCCCCCTTGGTCATAAGAGCGAGTACCTATTCAAAACGCGGCTCTCGCCTGAATGGCAAGCACATGCGGGACTCGTCCTTCCAGTGGCACTTCCCGTGGTGAGAACGACCTGAGGGCCTTGTGAGGAGGGGCCTCTCGGGACGAGAAGGCGCATTACAGCACCGCTGGTGCAGCCTGGGTAGATTTACTCAGGACCTCGTCCTCGGCCTTCTCATCGTCCTGGAAGCATCAGCGGGGGCATGTCCAATTCCAAGCTTGGGGCCCGCAACAAAGTAACTAACATGTCAATTCAGGAGGATCAGAACCACTCCCCTGACTCATCTAGCCAGACCGTCCGCTTTGGGGGGAGTGGACCTCGAGCAAGCCGATTCTCTCATCGTCCTCCTCCCCGTCCCGCTTGTCATCCCCAGTCAGCTCCTCCTCCTCCAGCTCGCATCTCCGCCCGCGGAGCGGGGGAAGAGAAAAAAGGGCAGCGTGGCAGTGGGGTAGGGAGAGCCGGGGGGACGGAGAAGGGCAGGACAGGGAGAGAGATAAGGGAGAAGAAAAGGACAGAGCAGAGCAGCTTGGAGAGGAAGCGGGTGGGGGGAGGGGAGGTCTTGAAAATTACCAGGGAGGAGGAGAGGGCAAAACAGGGATGATGAGGAGATGGAGGAAAGACGGCGACGGCGACGGCGACGGCGACGACGGCCCCCGCGGGGACAGCGGCTGCGGCGTCGACTTCGTAGGCGGCAGCGCGGCGGCGCTCGCCAGCGGCCACACGTGGCGCTGCACCGGGCTCGGGCGCACGAAGCCGGCGCCGAGCAGCTCGCGGCGCAGCAGTTCGTGCAGCGGGGCCTCCTGCAGCGGGCGCGCGGCCGCCGCCGGCGCGGCCGCCGCCGCCGCCGCCGTCGCGGTCGCCGTCGCCGCCAGCGTCGTCGCGGCCCACGTCTCCGCCGACGCCGCCGCCGCCGTCGTCGCGGACGGCATCGCCGTCGACATCGTCTCGCCGGCCCCGGGCGCGGCCGCGTCGCGAGCCGCTCGGGCTCGCGCCGCTCAAGCACTTGGGCTTCGACAGGGGCAGTGCACACGGCTCGCGCCGCGCCCTCGTTCCAGCTGGGCTTCGCCCGAACACTGCCCACGGCTCGCGGCACAGGCCGACGTGGGTCGGGCGTTGGGAAAACTGGATTTAGTGGGACCTGGTTTAGTGATGTGTACTGGGGGACGCCCCCCCTGCCCCGTTACACTGACCGGAACTGCCGTCACCCGAGGATCACCCGCTGCGGCAGACCTGGCTCAGTGACCCTGGTCAACTTGGGGGCTCCGGGGCCCTACTACTAACCTGGCCATCGCTCGGACGTCCATTCCCTGTGTTTTGTTCGGTTTCGTGCGTAGCTTTTTCGCCAAATGATCAAGGATGCTCCTCGATGGTCCTCGCCGAAGGAAAAATACACACGTCCGAGCGATGCCAAGTAACTGGGCCCCCTTGCCTGGGGTCCTGGCTGTACCCGAGCGGAGGCGGGGGACACCTCGGCCACGCGCCACCTGTGCCGCTGGCCCGAGCCTGGCGCCCGCAGGGCCACGCACGGGGCGCTGCACGGGACAAGCGGGCGAGCAACCCCAACTCGAGGCGCCCTGCCTCCAGCGCTGTCAGGGGAGACGAAAACGTAGCGGGCCCTGGAAGCGACAAGGCCGTTTTTCTACCTGTTCCGCTTTTTCGTTTTTTACCGGTTCCGTCACCGCTGTTTTAGCAGCTCCAGCTCTGGTTCCAATCCTGGAGCCGTTTTTCTGCCGTTTCCGAACGCCGTTTTTGCCGCTTCCACTTGTAAAACACATTTTTTCGGAAACAATAAAAAAACGGCCCTGCCGTTTCCCAGAGACAGCAGCCTTCCGCAAAGCAACAGCACCAGTGTGACCAGCACGAAAGGAAAACGCAACACAACAAGCAGCACTACCAGCAGCACCACTGCGAGCAACCCGACGGGAAGCAACAGCACTACGCGCACCCGCGCACGTGCAGCGAGATTACAACTGTGAGGAGCATCGGCGAAACCGCACCACTGCAACCAGCACGACGGAAATCAGCAGCACAATGCGCAGCACTAGTAGCGGCACCAGCAGCACGAATGTGACCAGCGAAACGATAACCAGCAGCACAACGCGAAATATCCAAGCGGCACCTTGGCACCAAACTGGCCGCGGATGGGGCCGCGATCCGGAAGCTTGCGCAGCCCACAAGCTTGTGAGGCTGCGTTTCCCCCTGCGACGCGAATGGCGTTCACTATCAAGATGTGGCATGCGCCCCAGCAATGGTACAGTCTAGAATCAAGGCGAGAAGGACATTCGCAATCCAGGGTGCGGCCAGCGCCAAAGCGGCAGCACAACATTCGCAATCATATTTTTGGCCAGCGCCAGGCGAGAGCAGCATTCCGAATCGAGAGCACAGCCCGCGCTGAAGCGAAAACAACAATCGCACTCATGCGCGCGGCCGGCACCCAGGACCTGGGCGAAAACAGCATTCCGAGTGCGCGAAGGCGGGAACAAGTAACGCAATCATGCGTGCGGCCGGCGCTTGGGCGAAAACAACATTTTCAATCTGATGTGGCCAGTGCCGCAGCGATAGCGACATGCTCAATGAAAGATTTGGCCGGCGCCTCGGCGACATCGACATTGTTCATGAGACATGTGACCGGCGCAATAGCTAGAACGACATGCTCAATGAAAGATGTGGCTGGCGCCTGGGCGACAACAGCATTTTCCATCAAACGCGTGACAAGCGCCACAGCGAAAACGACGTGCTCAGTGAAGGACGCCGTCGGCGCCGAGGCAACAATAACATTTTGAATCAGACATGTGGCCTGCGCCAAGGCGAGAGCGACATGCTGAATGAAGGGTGTCGCTGGTGCCTCGGCGACAGCCACATTTTCAATCCTAAATCTGGCCAGCGCAAAGCGAGAACGACACGCTCCATGAAGGATGTCGCCAGCGCCTAGGCGACAGCAGCAATTTCAATCAGATATTTCGCTGGCGCAAAGGCGAGAACGACATTCTCAATGAAGGACGTCCCTGGCGCCTAAGGCCAAAGCGGCAGCCGCGTTTTCAATCAGAGATGTGGCCCACGCGCAAGCGAGAACAACACGCTCAATGAAGGATGTCGCTGGCGCCGAGGCGGCAACAACATTCTTCATCAGAGATAAGGCCTACGCACAAGCTGAAGCACCATTCTGAGACAAGCGCGTCGCCAAAAAGCAAGTCTCACGCCCATTCCGCGCGTGCCGGTCTCGGTGTCACACCGATGCCTGGGCTACGTTAGGCGGGTAGTCCACGTTCGGGCTGGGGTTATAACGACGCGATCGTGTCTGGGAGAGGGCAGGGAAGCAGGGAGGAGTGTGGTGGGACGCAAGCGTGGCGAAAGGTTCGCGAGCTCTCGTCGTCGTGCCGCGCTCCCCGCCTAGGCCTCCCGTTCTGCAAGAGGAAGGCCCAAAGAGGCGGCGGGGTGAGGGTGAGGAGGAGGCGGAAAGGGCGAGAGAAGCAGGGAGGAAAAGGAGGAGGGTGACGACGACGACGACGACGACGACGACGACGACGACGACGACGACGACGACGACGACGGCCCCCTCCTCGATGGAGAGGGAGCACGGCCGCGCCCAGTCGGCGGCGGCCCCGTCCGACTTCTGGAC